CAAGGTAGATGATATTTACCAAAGTTAGGATAACTTATAGTCGATGCTTGTATACACGCCAWAGGACGCTTGTGTGCTGTTGTTTTTCGAAAATGATGTCTGTCATTTGCGTCTTTGATCTTCCATTTATGTAGCATACAGAGTAACGGCAACACTAAAGCTGAGGTAAATTTGGTCAAAAACAGACCTTAAATGGGGTGTATTTTCCAGCAGCGATACTGCACAGCTACGTACATACATCTGCCACCACCTTCGCCATCTTGGTTCTTGTCATAATTCTCAAAATTTACAAAAGGCCTGAAGGATTTCACCACTTTCAATCAGTGTTAAGAACACTTGATAATTCTGTTGTTTCATACTTGCTTTGACTTTAGCATGTATGACAACAATGCCAACACAAACACCAACAATCTGAACGTAGCCATCTTTCGAAAACACAATAGTTCTCACCGACTTCAACGTCCATGTTTCAGTGATTGTCTTCTTTGACACGATGAACCCCCTCAACWGTTGCTTCACAATAACATCCTCTGGGACCCACGGCACAATTTTTAGTGATTTGTTCATTAGTTGTCCACAATTTTTCGAAACCACGCATCAACGTTACAACTCGCCATCATCACCTCACTCGTTCAAATTACAYCCCCCTCACTTCTGGTTTTTGCAGGAACGGTAACTGTGGTGGCATTTTGCCATCCMATCATAACGTTTGTTTCATGCATGCTTTGAAATGTGCAAAAGGAGTATTGAGTGCAGTAGAAGGTAATTGTTGTATTTTGTTGCAGTTAATACAAAACATTCCTGTATTTTTATCTACTGAAGGTAAAATCTTATTTAATGAAGTACTGCTATCGGCATTAGTAGTCCTGTTTTCACTTGGTATTGGATTGATACCAAAATTCCTGACATTGCCCACCCCTAAATTGTAATCGACATGGTCTAACTAAATGATTTATAAATACCACAAACCACACTACTGAAGGGCACGCAGTTTTTATTACCAGAACAGTCATCGGCAAGTTGTTTTACCATAAAAAAGGCGTTTGCTAACCAGAAGAAGGTCATCGTAATTTCATGGATTAAAATAAAAATGGACAATTTCAAATTATTTGGTTTTACTTTTCAGTTTAAAACTGMATCAGCTGATTAAAAAACTGCAGGAAGTTTCTGTAAGCAGTCAGGACTGGTGCGGATCTGCGCTTCATGACTTCACTGCACAACTCAGGGTTTCTTTCACTCATGGAGCTAATTGGCTGAAAGGTAATCTTTACTTCACACCCTTCAGGCTGATTGGCTTTTCAGAGGTGATAAAAGCTATTCTGTGTCACAAGACTGGACTTTAAGTGGTAAGACTGAAAAGTTAACGCATGCAGTAAGTAGATCAAACTCTGAACTTTGTTTTAAACTTCATCACCCTTCCCCCCCGTCTCACTTTTTACTCTGATTGGCTTCAGACATGCATGGTTGCATTTAATAAAAAGTCAAGGCTCTTGTATTCAAGTAGAACCACAGCAGTGTCCTGGAGTTAGAAATTCAAAATGTTATCAACTTTCTAAAGATTGTAAAATACTTTGCTATGCATTAAAGGGGCAATATCATGTAAAATCAACTTTTTTGAGTTGTGTATCATGTTATAATGTTATACTCTCATAAAAACATGCCCAAAGCCTTGCTYTGACTCATTCATGCATGTTTGAGAAATCCTGCAGCGTTTTTAGGAAGCCATGCTGAGGAGCAAAACGACAGGTGGAGACCAGAAACTCCTCTGGGGCATGTCTTATCTTCCTCACCACGGAGCACACCTCCCCACCCCACACACTCCGCCCATGACTCCTGCAGGCTCTCGGCAGTAACGGAGCAAAGTGAAAGTGAAACTTAACTGCCTGCTGCTCTCCACACTATTTCTCACTCAGTGAAGCTMTTTTCAGATTCAAAATACCTTTGAGGAAATGTATGTTCAGATGCCAAGTAAACTGCATCATAGCACACGCGCGATAATAAGCATGATAATTAAATAATTGTACAGATTTGGAAAGAGTACATGTGTAAATATTGTAGGAACTCCATACGATGAAATTTAATAAGCTTTGGCTTCTTCCTTTTCAAACTGGATTTTTTAAGTTTGCTAATCATGTTTTTTTTCTTATTTTATTCTTGACWTCTTACATGTTTGAAATAAAGATTTCATTTCAATTTTGGCCACTTTTAGGGCTGATGATTTGCTGTGATCTGATAATAAAAGATTTGATACTTTTTATAATTAACTGTCAAAAATCCTTAGTAAAAGTAACAAAATAAAAGCATTCCCCTTTAAGTTATGTTGCACTTCATGACATAAAGTTTAACTACAAGCAGTAAAAAAATAAAAAATAAAATAAAAAACAGAAGCTGATGTGCTAGAATTAAACTGTCAAAAATGTTAGCATCCAGGCTTTAAAAAAACCTGTACAGATAAATTCTCTTATCACCAATTTCTTTTTTTTTAAGATTAAATATTTTGCAAAAAAATCTGAATGCATCATTACAAAATCATTAAGTTCACCCTATATTTGTTTTAAGTCCTGAAGCCTTTTTTAAAACTATAAAATATAGAAAATAACGTTCAGTGTGCCCCATAACACTGACAATACTATAAATTATGTCAAAGTATTTTACTATAAAAACATTGAGTAGATCATTTTCCCTCATCGTTTCTGTTGCCTTCAAAGAGCAGTGCGTGCTTTTACTTTTGTGCCTCTGTTTCCATGTGTTTACAGCTCAGCCTGAGATTTGTTACAGTTTTGTGCTCCGGTGCAATTGTCTAAGGTATGACAATTTGTGTAGCAGTCTTCTCACTTGCATCCACCTGAGAAGAAGATAAAGAGTTGATTGAAGACTTGTCAGCCCAGCTGATAACACTTAAATCAAAAGTTGTGCTCAGGGCACACATGACTGAGCTGTGTGCTGCAGAGGCGTGCTTCAAACTGACAACAATCTCAGCTCTGGCATCAACAACCAGAAGAAAAAAGAGCCAGGATTGTTTTGGAAAAAGCTTTAGAAATCGCTTATCTAAACAAAACTCGGTTCTTGTTTTGGTCAAAGCAGTTCTGTTGGACCTGTAACTGTGTCACAGCCAGGAATCAAACACGTTAAAGGGATGTAGGAGAGGTGGATCGTGTCTCGACATATTTTAGTYCCAAATGTGTAGCTCTTAAGAAAATGTCAAAGTCTCGCAGTAATTTGCAACATTTCAACAACWGTTCTGTGGGAAAAGCCTGACATTTAAAAAGTGCCTGTTTTTTTTCCTTCCACCCTGGTTGGTTTCTGATGTGATCTGAATAATCTGGTGAAGTTTATTTAATTCACGTTGCTCATTGAGGTTTACTTTAAAGGGAAATCATGTTTTTGACTTAGAAACTGTTTACTTTTGTGCAAATTAAAAAATGATCATAAATCTGGTTGTTTGCCTTTAAATATTTATAAATTTAACAAAAGTCCTGATGCATCTCAGTAATCCAGGTAAAACATCAAAAAGAAAAAAATTGTGTAGGTCTTCTGGATGGGTTCTTCTCTAATGAAACGTTTCGTCTCTTCTCCAAGAGACTTCTACAGTCTGAAGAAGCCCAGGAAGTCCAACATTTCACWGATCRCATCAACTCTGTGKATGAATATATTAAGTTCACACGAGAGGATGTAAAAAATGGCAGGTTGGCGTTCCTGGATTGCGATGTCTCTGTTTCGGATGGAGGACGGTTGGAAACTGGCGTGTATCGTAAGCCCACCCACACAGACCAATATTTGCGTTTTGACTCCCACCACCCACTGGAACACAAGTTAGGAGAGATCAGGACTCTGTACCACAGAGCAGACAGTGTCCCTACAAACCCAGGAGCCAGGCAGAAAGAGAAATCACACATACGACAGGCCCTGGAGCAGTGTGGTTATCCTGACTGGGCTTTCTTGAAAGCAGACAGGAAACACAGACAGGAYTCCATGCAACCTTCAGGTGAAAATGAAGACCCCAAACCCAGACCCAAACCAGTGGTTATTCCGAATGTTGCGGGTGTTTCGGAGAAACTGAGACRTTTATTTTCTAAACATGATGTCCCAGTRGCTTTCAAACCCCAAAACACATTACGGCAAAGGTTGGTTCACCCMAAAGATCCGGTGCCCYGGCACAAACAGAGCAATGTTGTATATGCTGTTAAGTGCCAGGAGGACTGCGACCAGTTATACATCGGGGAAACAAAGCAGCCACTGTTCAAAAGAATGTCCCAACACAGACGAGCTACATCTAATGGCCAGAACTCTGCAGTTTTCACTCATTTACAGGCCAGCGGTCACTCTTTCAGAGATGAGGATGTTCTCATTCTTGATAGAGAGGAACGTTGGTTTGAGAGAGGAGTAAAAGAAGCCATTTTTGTGAAGAAAGACCGTCCATYATTAAACAGAGGTGGAGGCCTCCGTTTTCAGTTGTCCCCCTCCTACAGTGCGGCTATTGCCAGTATCACTCCACCCCTGTTAACAATACGTGTTAATTAGGTGTCAACAATAGCCATGTGATGTATGTATCAGTCACATGGAGGCAGTGCTTAAAAGCCTGAATTTTGCCTGAAACTCTCAGACTGAAGAAGTCTCTTGGAGGAGAGACGAAACGTTTCATTAGAGAAGAACCCGTCCAGAAGACCTATACAATTTTTTTCTTTTTAACAAAAGTCATTTTCAGGTGTGCACGTTTAAAAACCTCTACATTAATTATTTAATCTCTGTTTTCATCATTTCAAAAATTCAGGATCTTTGAGAAATAACAACCTTTTCAAGCTCATGAACCACTTGGGGTTTTATCAACTTAATTGCTTTTCTTTATTTGCTTTGCTGCACTGTCACAGCCTCGTTGTAGCATTAATGAATCACTGAGCACCGCAATTAATTTTACATTATTACCACCAACTGCTTAACTAGCAGAGAGCAGCTGTTAAACTGTGTTAACTGAGTTGTTTTTCTGCTCTGTCTTCCTGCAGAATGAGTACACGTGCCCGCGGCCCCTGCCTGGCGCCTGGTTAGGAGACGTGCCTACGATCCATTAATCCTCAGACAGAACTGCTTCTGAAGGAGCAACAAATCACAGAAACTAACCAGGATCTTGTCATTCCAGTTTGAGGAAATAAAAAACAAGGACCACAAGAGGATGAGGTCCTAATCCTTTTTTTTTTTGTTAAGATTTTATATCTTTTTTTGGTGATTTCTGCTCCTCAGCTTGGGCTCGTCCCTCGGCGCTCGCATCACAAACACTGGTGATTTGTGGACTCACTTTCCCAACGTAAGGAGCAGCAGACTCTTTGAACTTCTAAAGGATTGATAAACTGAAATCTTTTTGTAAAGAAATAAATAGACCATAATGTGTCTTCATTTCCATGAGGACCTCTTGTACAATAATTGTGAAGGCAATGAATCATCAGTAAGAACATCAAGGACGACACTACAGAGTGTAATTTAAAGTGGGATTCCATATTTTGAATATAAAGCTTCAATCTATAATTTTTCAGTCTCTTTTTTAAAGAAAAATCATCATGATGTTATGATGGTGCCTCTCTGCAGCAGAACAACTACAGGGTTCTGAATCAGTAAACAAGAATCCACTTTGTCTGCTTTAAAAATCAAGGAAGCAGCAGCTAAAATCTTGTTTGAAGCTTGTGAAAACTGCTGTTTGCTTCTGTTTTATTTTTTATTTAGTGTTTTCTAAAATCTGCAACAATCCAGTTCAATTTGAGGACGATGCGAGGAAGAAAAGAGGCTCTAACTCGTGATGAAAATGTAATTTTCTGCAATGTTGATAATGTTGTTGTGCTTTCTGAATACATGTTTGAGCACCAGATACCAAAGAGCCAATCGGATCTTTGTTTGCTTTTGGCTCACTTTTTACATACGCTAAAACTGATCCAGGATTTTTATTTTATTGTTTTGTTTTCAGAACAATCCATAAGAACCCTCGACTCGTTCCTGTCCAGCAGAGYTCTGCTGCTGAAGTGGCTTTTTTTATGTGCAACATGTGCGTCTTTGTGAAGAAATGATCCTGCAGCAGCAGGAAGCTCTCATCAGCCCTGCTTTAAACTGTACAACTTTTATTTATGTTTTTAAATACATGATCACTTTCCTTAACCCCCCACCCCGAAGTGTTGATGTGCACGGATCTGCGTGAGCTTGTTGTTTTATTTTTTATTGTATTTGAAGCCCACTGAGTGGTGGATTGTTGCTTTCAGCCTTTAAATGTAACCTTTATACAAAAGGAAAATAATTTTCTAATGTAAATTTCGGCCCCTCCCCCAGGATTTCTGGAGTRAACAGCGGTATCCTTTGTTCACTTTCAACAGTATCTTTTTTAATTAAAATTACGACTTTACTGGTGAGCAATATTAATTGGTCAAATTAAAAATCTTCATTGATCCTTCTCTTGTGTACTTTTCCATGTCTCCATTCAGGGTGGAAGGAGTCGTGTCCTCCCCGTGGATGTCCCTCAGAAGAGGCTGTCACGTCAACATTAGCCTCATTAATTTAGAGAGCAGATCATTGATCTCTGTTCGACCGTTCTGTTCGCGCTGCCGCTCGCTGCGGCTCCCACCAGCCCTCTAATTATGCTTCCTGTGTAACRTGTTGCGTGTCGCAGGAGGGGGGGCCGCGGCTCAGCTAATGTCCTCCATGTTTGCTGCTTGTGGAACGTGTCAAGCTGTCAGCAGAGGTCCAGATGGGCCATCTGTCCAGCACTCACTGTGGGATCACTGGACTCAGCTCTACCTGCGTCCGTTCCCTTCATGTTTCCACCTCGCTCGTACATTTCTGTCGCTYTGCGGGGGGCCCGCATCTCCCCCAGTTTGAGCTTTCATCCTTTTATCGTGACATCATGTCTGTCTGGTTCCCATCTCCGCCCGTCCACAAGGCTTGGTTCATTCACATCACTGAAAGAAAACTTTTCCTCTTTTTGTCAGCTAGCGAAGCAAATTGGCTGCCATTTTGCACTCGGCTGCCCGTGAAGTCATTGACATTTTCATCAAAAACTCAACGTTTTTTAAAAAAAGTGCATCTTTTTGCAGAGCTGTTCCGCTGCTGTAGTTTCAGCCAAATGTGTTTTAAAAAAGCCGAGTTCAGTGAGTGCCAAGTGTGGGCTGTTCCTGCCACCACCCTTAACCTGACAAAGACAAGATTTCACTTTTCTGCTCAAATTTCTGYAAGCTTTAAAAAAAAAACAACAAAAGCACCATTTAGAGCAGATGAAAAGGCTGACATTGAAATCTGAATTATCCAGAGTAACTGCTCTCTCAAAATATTCTTGATAGAACTATTCTTCTAAAAAAAAAGGAGATTTTAGTGTGATTGTTTTATTCTCAGTGGACTGTTTCCATCATGGCACAAACAGATCTGGACCAGGTAAGTTGGGTTCCTTYAAGGGATTTTTCCACCAAAACTTTGTCTCCTTTCAGGATTTTTTGGGACATATCATGAAAATCCACTTTTTTTAGTCTTTAAATACATTTTGGTGTGAGCTTGGAGTTTCTAAGAGGCAGAATATTTGAATTCAGTTTCTCCTGGTGCTGCATGGATACCTTTATATCCTTTTATTCTTTTCTTTTATATTTTTCAACCTGTTCAGTTTTTCCTGTTCACTATGACGTTTTCTGAACTATTACATCTAATCATTTGCAACAAACGTCTAAAAAAAAGGTGTGCACTTACTAAATACAGTTTGGTGGTCTTCATTCTCGTCTGGTTCCGGGTCAGACTCTGGCTACAACATGTAAGGTCGGATGGACAAGTCTTCCCTTTTTCACATCTTTTAATTCATTTGTAAATAAAATGTTTCTGCACAGCTATACAGTATAAACCCCGCTGTCAAACTGGACTAAACTGGTCTGGAGAGTGGAGGTGGGCGAGGTGTAAAGCACCTTGTTTGGATTTAAAGAGGCAGCCTCAAAATGAGTTGATCTGAGACACGCCTCTGAAAAGGGGCGGGGCTTGTGGAGTTAATATAAGGAGGAATTTAGCCCAAAGCGTTGCAGCTCCACTTTATATAGACCTCAACTGAAGGCTTTAAATGTGAAAAAGAATMATTTAAAAGCAYAAATSAGCTCTGTTGGTCACCGTTTRCATTATGATTGACTATTTAAAGCAGGGGTGCCCAAACATTTTCTCTGAAAGGGCCAAAATTAAAATCAATCTGAGGGGGGTGGGCCAAATGCAGTAATATAATACATGAAATGCAAATATTTCAAGGAAAGTTGTATTTTTATGAYTAAGCTGCAGCCAGTGCGGTTGCCCACATTTTTTTTCTAGCCCATGGACATGGAGAAAATTCAACGTTTGCTCGGGCAGCAAAGGTTCATGTGACTTTTCATAATTTAAAATTTGAGTATATGGGGTCTTATAAGGTGTGCAGATCTAGAAATGAACTTAAATCTAATATAAATGTTTTGAAGTTACTTGTATTTTAAGTTTAATCTTAATATAGTTCAAAGATAAAGTGAGCACCATGAGTTAAGTTTATCTGACTAGAGCTCCTTGTACCTATAGTTGGACCAATGTTTGAAAAGACTAAGTGCAAATAGTATTTCTACATAAAACAGGAGATTACAATCTAGTAACCAGGATAAGTGCTAGTGGGCCAAATCAAATGGCTTGGCGGGCCAAATTTGGCCCACGGGCCCCACTTTGGGCACCTCTGATTTAAAGAAAAGTGTCTCTTCTGTGAGGAGTTTGCATGTTCTCATGCTTGCTGCTCCAGTTYCCCCCTCAGACCAAAAACATGTTCAACAGGTTTCCTTCAGGCCTCCCTTTCAAAAGAGATCAGTGATCTAAATGGGATTTTCCTGGTTAAATAAAAAGGTAAATAAATAATAAATGTTCAGTTTGTCATGATGTTTATCCTGATCATAAGAGGAGGAGCTTGGTTTTTTGAAAATTCTAAATTATTTTAATTAATTATCAGAAGAATCTACAGTAGGTCAAATCAGCTAAACATATTAAATCAGAAATATCAAACCACCACAATAAAATGGGTCATTGTGACAAGCACATCTCAAATAAAGCCCAAAAAATGTAATGAGACTAAAAAGTGTATATTTTGTTTGAATTCCTCTATATTAGCAGACAATAAGAGTCAGTCCACACAAAATTAACATTAACCATGTTTTACCTGCATCCTTTACAATCTGCATCACAGCTTTGTACCATCTGCATCAGGACTGATAGTAAAACTCTGCAATAAAAAGAGGCTGAGTTGGTCTCATATTCTTGTAGGCCACTTCCAATGAAGACAAGAGAAAAGCCCTGATTATTGTTAGAAATCCCTCTCACCCCTATGATTTACTGTTTAACCTCCAGCCATCTGGAAGACCATAATACTGAGTCAGATCAGGAACAACCAGAATGCAAAGCAGCTTCTTTCCACACAATGAGGCAGCTAACTCCCATCAYCATGCAAGGTTTTTTTT